AGGCCACACCTGCAGACACACTGCGAGGATTTACGGATCAGCTTACGTCAATATCTTTACGATGTGGTGAAGCGGAAAATAGGATGCGTCGATCCAACCTACTCTTTTTCGGTTTGGAAAACAATGCTAATGAGGATTGGGCAGCTCTGAAAAGAAAATTAATAAGTTTTGCTCTGAAAAATTGCAGCTTACACTCCTTGGTACTCAGTTTGAAAGGGTTCATAGATTGGGTAAACATGATAAAGAAAAGTGTCGACCTATCATTGCCAAACTTGTATTTTTTAAAGATAACGACCAAATCTTGTCGCGTGCCCGAAATCTGAAGGGCACTACATTTTTAATACGCAAAGATTTTTCATTGGCAACGCGACAGACCCGCAGAAAGCTAATAGAATTTGCCAGAACTCAAAATAAGCCATTTAGGCTTGTAGTAGACAAGCTGCGCATCGAAAACGTTACTTACGTCTATAACGCCGTCACTAAGTCAGTTATAAGCTCAAGCAGATAGCTAGAAGGAAACGTACAAACGTTTACGAAGCCGCAGCTGCATAAGCCTTGCACTCCTTTATCACCAACAGTATCATTCACTAACACTAGAAGCATCTTATCCAAACGGGAAATAGTCTTATCTTATATCGATGATAGCCTTTCTGATATTCTTGTCTTCACTGAGACATGGCTTAACGCTGACATCAATGACAATGAGATTTTTACGCATGCTAACAGATACATCTATCAAAGCGATGATGCAGACAGAAGGGGTGGTGGTGTTCTTATAGCTGTTAAATAAACCGTCACGTCTTATGTCGTCGCTTCCTATTATAAGATTGAAATTATATGGGTAGTTTGCACAATTCATTCCACAAGGATGTTGCTCGGCAGCTGTTATCGTCCTCCCGATTGTCATCAATCTTTCTTAGAAGAGTTGCGCAGCAGCTTTAATTCTGCCATCGAAATCTGTGAGGCTCGCATCGTTTATCTATTCGGTGATTTCAATCTACCACTTATTGACTGGGGGCAGCTGTCATTTTCTTGTAAGTACTCAACTGACTTCATTAACTTAACTTTAGACTTTGATTTGGCTCAGGTTGTCACTCACTCAACTCGCGGTTCAAGTACACTTGACCTCGCTCTAACAACTGCACCTGAAACTATAGACCACATAAACTATTTGAATGGCTATAGTGACCACAAACTGCTGCAAGTTGATCTTTCTATCTTGCCACCTTTTGCAAGAACCGAATCAAAGAAAATTAGAGATTATAATAAAGCCAATTATGAAGCCATTAACAGGAAACTTGAGTCTTTCCTTGACAATGTGCTACTGCCTTCCTTTTACAGTCGCTCAGTTGAGGAAAACTGGGTTCTTTTCAAGAATGAGATTTCAGCCCTAATAGGAAAACACGTGCCATTGATAACGATTACCCATGATAAAACTAATCCATGGTTCAAGTCTTTGCGCAGACTTAGAAACAAAAAGAAGCGGCTTTATCGGTCTGCAAAAAATTCGCGTTCACACACGTCTTGGGACAGATACGAGGAATGCCTAAAGAAATATTGCCACGAAATTAGAACTGCAAAAAATAAATACTATTCCCAGGATTTGCTTCACTACTAAAATCTAGTCCGAAAAAATTCTGGAAAGTAATAAGTCCTGATCGCGACGATAACTTCATTTCATTACACGATGCAAATAATACTCCTTTTGCAGACACTGATTGTCCTCATGTCTTTAATTCATTCTTTTCATCCGTGTTTACTAGCGAGCATGATCATCTTCCAGAAATTGTTGAATGCGATTACTCATTCATGTCACCTATAGATATCACAATTGAAGGCATAGTTAAAATTATTGAAAATCTGAAGATATCATCTTCTGGTATTGACGATATCAATTCAAAAATATTAAAGAACACTGTTTATGTGTCTGGCGCTATCCTGTTTCACATTTTTCGGCAGTCGCTCACTACAGGAATGTTGCCTTCTGACTGGAAGATAGCGAAGGTAGTGCCAGTCCATAAAAGTGGTAGTAAAAGTTCACCTGGAAATTATCGCCTTATTTCCTTGACGTGCATATGTTGCAAGATGCTTGAGCATATCATAGCTTCCAACATTCATGCGCATCTTGAATCCAACAATTTCTTTTTCTCTAACCAGCACGGGTTCCGAAAGGGTCGTTCTTGCGAGACTCAACTCCGAGTTCACCACCGACCTACATTCTAACATGAACAGTAATCTACAGAGTCAACTCTTTGTGTTCACCCCAGACCTACATTCTAACATGAACAGTAATCTACAGACAGATTGTTTATTTCTTGATTTTGCAAAGGCATTCGATCGTGTTGCTCACTGTTGCTTGATATTAAAATTGTCATCAGTAAAACTTGATTCACTCACGCTAACATGGCTCCGAAACTCCCTAACTAACCGCCAACAATTCACTATTGCCAACAATCACTCTCCATCACTTCGTTACATTTCCTCTGGTGTACCACAGGGCAGTGTTCTTGGTCCCTTACTTTTTCACATCTACATTAATGACCTGCCTGACAACTTATCCTCATGTATGCGTATATTTGCTGATGACAGCATTATCTATCATCCCATCCGCAACAATAGCGATCATCTAACTCTTCAAAAAGACCTCGAACATATTAATGAGTGGTGCAAAACATGGCAGATGACACTTAATGTTTCCAAATGCAAACCCTTTAGTCGCAAACGTGATAGCTTTAATAGCCAATACATAATTGATAATAGTATTGTAGAATGCACTGATCATTACAAATACCTAGGCATAAACTTAACTTATACACTTTCGTGGTCCACACATATCACTTCTATCTGTGCCAACACATAGAAATCATTAGGTTTTCTGCGCCGAAATCTATACAGTGCTCCCTCCGATGTACGCAAACTGGCTTATCTTGCTCTAATCCGTCTTCAACTGGAGTTCGCATCCTCCATTTGGTTGCCATATCAACAATACCGCATAGATAAGTTAGAATGTATACAGAACAGAGCTAGTCGATTCATAGCGCGTAATCACAGCTACCCGTCCAACGTAACACAGATTAAACATAGCTTTGCACTCGAGCCACTGAAAATTCGCCGCGACATCTCACTTTTATCACCATTTCACAAACTCATCCACACCAGCATGATGCCACCTGTTCACCTTAATCTAGCCCATCGAACTTCAAGCAAACTAGGTAACCCCTTTAGCTTATCACGCATGTGCGATAATACTAACGCTTTCAACCAGTCAGCTCTTCTACGAGCTATTCGTTTGTGGAATGATTCTTGATGATCTTGCGTCAGAACAAGACCACACAAAGTTCTATCATACTCTTAAAAAATACTCATGCACCAAAAACTGCTCTATCGCATCTTCATAATCATCTGTGCTTATAGGACTGTTGCCGATCTTTTTGCACTATTGCTAGGTTGTAGTTACTGTCATAATAATTTTTGTATTTCACCTTCACATACTGTAACTCACTTTTCTAGTATGCATTTTGCTTACATGTTCACAAGTTGAACTGCATTTCTTATTATATTCAATATTTGCCTATGTATATATATTTTTCTAACATATTATCTGTACCGCCCCCCCCCCTTGCACAATGCCCCTCGAGGGCTCTGTAAGGTACTCTAAATAAATAAATATCATCGATTACCACCGTATGGGGGATCTGCCAATTTTTTCGTGCCTGTAAATAGTAGAGTACTCTTATCGAACTGTGCCTTCCCTGATCGGTATCATATGCAAATTCATTACATGCACACTAAAACCTCCATATACAAACCCAGAGATAACAAAATATCAGTTACAACAAAGTAAATAAAGAATAGTCTTTCAATCGATATAGTGTTAGAAATATGCCTTTAAACTAATTTTCTGATCAACTTAATTTCATGTAAAATGCATATTTGTTATAATAAAGTCTGACTGTATTTCCATAGAAGTGTACACATTGTCGACCTTTATACCCATGTCAGCAGTTTCAAAACAGCACATACATTTTGCATGATTGCACCAAGACTAGGATTTGGATTAAAGAACTTTTTGTTGTAGGTATTTATTGTAGCACAATGCATTACGTGCAGGCATAGGTCAGAAAAACTGTGGAGCTCACTCAGACTCACTCATGATATCCATTTGGCGCTTTGAACTCACTCCGACTCAGACTCACCAAAATTTTCCTGAGCTAGACTTTTGGACTCACACTCACAAAAACTTTCTTCAACCAAACCTACCCGAACCTAAGCTCACCAAAATAGGACTCACCTCGACTCACTCACACTCATAACTCGATCCGAGTCCAAGTGAGTCGACTCATGAGGCTGTCGGCCTAGAATTAGCTCTCTCGAAAAAGGTGTCAATGCTCTTTAACACAAATATTTCGTGTAATCGGTGTTTTTCTAGGTGCCTTTTAATTAGTAACTTTAAAGACAAGTTATGAGCACTGCAAAACCAGTTAGGTCATTTATTTTGGCAGAGATGACTACATAATATAATTTATCAAGAACTTCCCTGGAAGAGTTGCAAAGGGGGAAACATCAAGGCACCCCCCCTCCCACGTAATTTGCCCCTCTGATTAATAAATATTCAAATGGTGTGTGAACAAAGCTGCTTTGGAATATGTGTGAATAGATGCGAGTATAAACGTGAATCCAGGTAAGGCTGATAGTAATGCTGAAGAGTCGTAGATAGGATCGTAGGTCGGCAAAAAAAAAATGGAACTCACTCAGACTCACTAAAGCAATACATATATCAGCACTTTGGACTCACATAATTTTCCTGAGACAGACTCTGTGTTGTACTCACACTCATAAGAATTTTTTTCAACTCGCCTCACTCAGACTCAAATTCATCAAAATATTACTCACCCAGACTCACTCAGACTCAGACTCACGGCTTGATCTCAAGCTGAGTGAGTACGAGTGAGTTCGCTAGCTTAATTTAATACACTTCACAGCGCAGAAGCATTTCTTGCCTGGTGAAAAATCTGAAGCTGCAGCATGCGTTCTAAAAAAGGTCGAAGGCTGGCAGGGCGTGACTGCAGGAAGCGGTCAGGGTCAAAGGTGATTCGCTGACCAACTTCCATGCGTACGGCTTCTCGGTAGCCCCCCATCAGGGCCACCAGAGCACGGAGGAATGCCTGGGAAACACCATCACCAAGTGTCTGGTGGTGTGTACGTAGACTGCGCTTCAGTGGCAGCACCTGTAGCAAAAAAATATGTGCACTTGTCAGTGCTTTCTGTATTTAAAGAAATCACAACAATCAAATCCACATATTTTAGCCAAATAAAAATCAAATTATTTTATTGTGACTTAGCTGCACGCATAGTTCTAAAGGATTTCGTAGTGAAAAGCATCAAATTACTTAGCCCTTGCGAATGCAAAGCAAGGTAGACAGGTGGTTTTGAATTCTGTCCCTACTGACACACTCCAGCCATAGCCCAGAATTCAACACATGATTACAAGGTCAACAGTAGAAGAGGCCGAATTGGACTGATGTGCCACAGTTGAACGTCAAGATCTTTCGTTTGTTTTACACTAAACGTCCCACATACTTGAAACTCAACTACCTCAAATTTTCTTGTAAAAAATTTTGGCTACTTACAGCTTTGCTCAACATCACTCTACATTATATCTGCTGCTCAAAAATATGCTGACACACGAAATCACAGGTCGGCCACCTCACTCATGAGACGACTAACTCATACTCAGATCAAGCGGCATCATAGCCATAGCGAGTACGGCTGAGTAAAATTTGGTAAAGTTTAAGTCCAAGCGAGCCCAGTTCAGAAAAATTTTAGTAAGTTTGAGCCAAAGAGAATCTGGTTAAAGGAGCACCGCCATCAAATTTCAAAATCGAGATGTGTCCTTCATTTGATGGCTCAGTGCGCATAGCTCCTCTAGGCCAAATTTGAATCGCGTTCGTCGCGTAAAAGTTATTTTATTTCAATGGCAAATAGCGGACGAGAGCTTAATGGAAAATGAAGTGGCCCTGTGACATTGAGACTAGTGCTATGTGTGCAGTGTGATACATTCCACGCATACCATCTTGACTGACGATGCACTTGTAGTGATGAAGTCTACAATCTGAGTATTCGTATCCTGGCGCCGACTGGCATTGAAGCTTGGCAACGAACTCAATTGACATGTCTGATCTTTGTCGCACCGTTTCGGATGATTTCGTGAAATTACCAAGATGCAAAACGCCCATAAAAGATCGGCGAAATAAAAGAGCCTGATTCAACGTGTACTCGTCAGTCAGGGCATCGGAGTCACCATAGTCGGGGAACCGTTGCGAGTTGCAGTCATCAGGTTCAAAGCGCGAAATAAGTGCAATTAGGGCGTCTTTACCAAGATCCAAACCGCCAGTAAAATATCGGCGAAAGAAAAGAGCCTGATTCAACCTGTACTCGTCAGTCAGGGCATCGGAGTCACCATAGTCGGGGAACCGTTGTGAGTTGCAGTCATCTAGTTCAAAGCGCGAAAAAAGTGCAATTAGGGTGTCTTTTTTATTACACATATGTCACACGCCAACACAACCACAAGCTATCGAAGTGGAATATCGTATAGAATGATATCATCACTAACAAGTAACACTCAGGTATCGTTAATAGTGAATTTTGGTTGATCCATAGACTTCTTTGCGTTCGCGTAACACCGGGTTACTGCTACTGCCACCTTGAGAGGCCTGTTAAGTGGGACCATCTGGAGGCAAAAAGAAGAACCTGGCAGCAGGAAACGTATTCTATTTCTCCTCTGGCGTGCTCCCCCTATACCGTTACTACATTGACCTCTTTGCTTATACCTGAATGCTGTAAACGCCACACACATCAATATAGATAATTTAGACCCACGAGCGAGCGTGGCCGAATCATGCATCCCCAAGCACCTCTTCAATGCTGCTTGGAACGGCATCCATTTTGGAAACGCTGTTCTGCAAAAGGTCCATCGAAACAAAAATGATTCGCTAGTCGATACTCGACGCTAGTCGATATTTTGTACGGTGACGACTGCAATGCAGGTGACAAGGCATGATTGAATGTATGTGCCTAGCACACGAAATGTTTGTGGAGCAGCTGAGCATCACGTCGCTATTTTCTGAGGAGAAGTGGTCAGCTGTGGCACGGTCTGGAGGTGACCACGAGATAGCACCCCTGGTAGCGCTCCCAGCGCTAAAAATGGAGGGATTGTTGGCTGCTTTGAATCGTGCTAGATACCAGCGGCATAAATCAACAAAACTGATAGTTATTCTTCCCTAGGTTGTATTAAAGGTCGCAAATTGCTACGACGGGGTCGATACCTACTCGTTGATGCAAAAACCTTGACATGAGTAAATTTGATGTCAGTGCAAATTTTCACGAGTCCGAGTGCAAGTGAGCCCTAAGCACAAGAGATACGTAGTCTGAGTGAGCTCTACCTTTTCTTTTTTGCCAACCTACGCGTGCCATGCTTCCGAAATTGTACAAAAAAATACAGTGATGTTGCTGCCCCCAGCTTTAATATCTTCTCTTTACAACAGTATATCAAAATGGCTTTAGAACAGTAGCGAGATGAGAATGCTATAAAAGGAAGTCCCACAATTTACCATACAATGGTACCTCTCTTAGTCCAATATTTGGCCTAATTATGTAAAAAGCACAATAGGGCTTTTTCAGGTCTTGCTTCACATTTCCTTCTATTTCATATTAATCTATGCGACAAAAGGAAATGATGGAGAATGGTGGGGAGAGAAATGACAGAACGAAAATTCTATTTGCTTTTACTTTATTTGCCTGTAAATTTCTACAAACCTGGACACGATTTCTTTTTTAGCTTAACAAAGCAACCGAGCGAAAAAAAACTTTTTTGTCCATCCACAAGGATATAGCCCTGCATGAGTGCCCTGGAAGATGGCAGATGCAACAGTAATAATGCAAGTGTGAAAACTCCAACAGTCGTGCAGCATTGGCACTTGTGCCACACACAGCACGTGTAAGGTCATTCGCAGTGAATGGCATTCATAATGAATGTCATTGCATTCTTGCGTTCCGGGTCTACACAGCAATGTAGAATGACATTCGCAATTGATGTCAATGTTTATCGGCAGCCTGCTATGATACCAAGAAGTTGGCGCCTTGAATTACATAACATTGTACCGCTGGTTAAAAATGTACTGCAGCACGATAAAACAGCGTCAGTAGGAATAAAATCCTCGTACACATCCAAAGCAAGACTAGCTTAAAGCCACTCACAACTTGCAGTCTGCTATATTTGGAACCGTAACAGCTTCATATATTTGTGATCGTGATGAATGATGATCAGTACAAACGAACGTTATTTGTTCTCCAGCTGCTGTGAATGAAGTATCAAAACCAACTGAAGTGCGTCAAGCTTGCCATTGAAAAAACATCACCGACGACGAGAGATTTGGAGCTGTGCCTACACGTTGATTTGTTCATGTTAGGCTTCAACTTCGTCAGCGATTGACAGAGAACTGTGGTGCTTCTGAAAAAAGAATAATTGGTTTGAAAACACTCTTCCTAAACTGGTGTCCCACACTTGCATGTGTATCCTGCTAATAGCGAGTCCAATGCGGCAATGCTGCACCAAAACAGCAGCGAGCGTTCTTAAGTACAGTTAACAGGAGGCCCCATAGTGTCAAGTCAAAGTCTGTGAAAGAGAATATAGCTGCACAAATTCCTTCCACTATCACAATGTAAGTTAAAGGTTACCGAAAATTTAACCTTTAATAAACATCTGAACACCGCTTACACTTGCTTTAAGGTGTCGATTTTGTCATCTCTTATCAAGCGCCTGTTGACGAGATTACATATGTCAGGAGTTCGGTCAACGCCTCCTTCATTTCTTTCAATGCCAATGCAAATGTGCGCCCATCAACGTGAGCCACCAGTCCGCCTTAGTTCAGGGAATGGTCGTGATGCGACGCTGCATGAGGGGTCACGCTGCTTTCGGTCTGCTGCTACTAACGCAGTAATGTGGGGCAATGTTGTGCACAGCAACACACAGTAACAGTGACGTGAATCGGTCCGGTCGGTCCGCTTCTTGAGGTGGGTAATTTCAAGTGCGCTAACCCAATGCGGACCACTAAAAAGCTATTTTATTTCAAAAAAGGCCCTTCCTTAGCACAAAAGTAACACTATGAGGTTTCTGGACCACTATTTCAACAATAAACGTCGGCTTAATAGTTGCCTTTAGTGTCCATTTAACATCTAATGTCTTTTGCAGCGAATGACATTACACGTGTCGTGTGACAGGGGTATTACATGCATTGTGACATGAGAAGCTGCCCATCATTGAAGGGCATACTTACTAATCCCAGCATAGTGCCTTTCTCCTTTATAACCAGCACTGGTTTCTTATCTCATTCCACAACTCCCACGAACTCAGATTTAGCACCACCAGGTTACTAGGGTTGAGCGCTTTATTCAATAACCAGAATCTAGGCCACTGCTTCAGAAATTATTCTGATTTGCTTTTCTTTTTTTATAGCAAAAATCACATGACAAAACGTCGTGTATTCTAAATTTGTCGCAAATAGCCTTTGAGATCGCATAGCTGTACCAATCACACGACAAGAGCGTGATTGCAGAGGTGGGCATGGCTGACTCTTCCTCCGCATTGGCTGCTCGTCAATGAGGCATCGGGGAGCTGCAGTACTTTTGGTGTAGCTTGAATAAGGCAATGAAAAACTTGTTTTGCACTACTACGTGTTTTTCCACTGACTTCAAAATGAGAGCTTAATGTACACAGCCATAAAGATCCTATCAGGAACCAGATAAAAAAATATATGTGTATGTAATATGGTGCACGTGCACACCACAGTGAAATCAAAATATCCTCTCATTTGTGCAGGACACCAGCACTGCAAGTATGAAAGGCTACTGTGCAAACGTTCAGTTTAAGCAGCATGATTACGTTACAAGGACATAAGGTCGAGCGCATTCTGAAAAGGAATTATGTTAAGGGGGGACATGGTGTGTGGAGATATTTTCTGTATTTGTGGACCAAACATGATAAAAAATATACATGCTTATGTAGTTTCTCCAGCTGATTTCAAATATGCAAATATTTTCATTATAGGTCAACTAATTTAGAAGATACACAATACTGCCACTCTATTGTTTTCGGAGACACTAGAAAAGAAAGTGCTTATCAAAAAATAAATATTATTGCATAGCTAGACAGTGCAATTAGCAATAAGTG